ACCGCTTAAGCCGCCACTAACTACCGCAGACTGTACCACAGCATAGACACACGCGGGGCCCTTACCCCTCCCTCAGAAGCAAGACGACGAATCGACGAGACTCACAACCAACAGGACCACAACAACAAGAATTAAACAAGACAAAGGTACATTAGTAGGTACAGGGAACAACGAAGCACATCAACGGATCAAGCGTAGCAAAACATACCCAAAGCTTATTGAGAACACATGGAAAATTACTACTGTCCGAGGGAACTCTGCCAAACAACTGGCTACACCGCAGTGAGGTTTTAGTGGGTAGGAGACCGTCCCCGACGTTTTGAGTCCCACATCGCCCCCATCAGGGCACGCATAACCGCCTTTATCCTCACCCTCCGGTCCCCCCTGGGGACTGGCTATAACGAACCGGTCACAGGCTGATCATTATCTCCCAGTACCGGTAACCTTATTCCCCCCCCGTATATACTAGAAATAGTGTTTATTGGTCGAATATAACGTTTGTCAAAAAAAAAAAAAAAAAAAAAAAAAAAACTCACCAGACGTTCTAGAGACTTTCCTGACATCAGTTTTTCAATGTCCGACACATTCCGACATTCTCCGACAAAGTCTATAGAACGGATGGGAACGAGACTAGCAAACATGATGTTTCGCCACATTTGGCACACATGCACTGGCACCAGCGTGCACCGTGTGCTTCTGTTTTGTCGGCTCCATCCATGATTGAATATATTTCTATATCTAGGAGAACATCCGCGGGGAAGTACATTGATCGACTTCCGGGCTGTATCTTACCGCCGGAGAAATGGTCATAAAGGGCTTTGACACGATGCCTCCGGTATCATGATCGATATCGAGGAAGAAATGTGACAAATGTTCCTCACGAGGCCGGGGCATATGAAAAGGCCGGATTCACATCCCCCACAAATGTGATCAAGGGCGTGTAGTGCGAACCGCCGGTCGACACAAAAGAAGCACAGAATCATTGGAGTCTTGTATTGAGGATGACGTGATATTATTCTTCAAGTTACGTTCCCGGGCAGCAAGAGAAAGACTTGTCAAGCAAGTGTCGTTATGCTCGTCCGCGCCCTGGTTGACCCTCCCTAAGCCGTACGCAGTGGCAGACAACACTCAGGTTCTCAAGGCGACAGTTCCGACCCTCGGCGTGTTCGCCGACTAGCCGAGCGGAATCAGGGAGTTTCCGGCGACGATGAAGGCGGAAGCCTGCAGCAACTCCCCGATAATCCGGTGGACCTCAGGTAGCTGACTAGTACAGAAGAGAAGGCATCTCGTGATGGATGTGCTGCGCGTGCCTGTGTCGTGAGGGAATGCGCATCAACAGCTAGACGTGGGCAGGCTGGACGAAGATTGCAGTGTCGCGAATGCATGCGCTATAATCGGAAGAGGGGACATAGCCATTGACGCAAGCCTGCACAACAAAGCGGCTTGCAGAGCATCGGACATTTTGGACGCAAGGAAGGGCCACGCAGTAAATTCCTTCAGGGCCCTGCTCCGACATGAGGAAGGGATTCGGGGATACGCATCCGCCACCTGGAGAGAGAACGCATAAGCACCAAAAAATGTGCATGGTTGATGTCGACTCACAGCTTTCGAGTGCGGTGTCCGTGTTGAGGCACTCGAGGGCAGCTGAGCCCTGGCTGACCCCGCAGACTTCCTCATCATGAACACACGTCGATAAAGCGTCTTCATGCGTAAGAATTCCGCGGCTGCGGGCCCTCAATAGGCCTCAATCTTTCGTTTATCCTGCATTGATAGGGAGCCAACGGAGCCACAACCCCGCGGGGCGATATAGTACATTCGAGGACGGCACTGGGGGCATGCTGTTGGTCAGCGGAGCAACGGCAAAGAACCCGCAGAGGAAGCGGGTGACGAGCAAGGTTGTCATGTCGTTCGCGCGGGCCTGGTTGATGTGGATGGTAAGAGTGCCGATGAAGATGGGCCGCCGACCGATGAGCTCAGAACCGGGGTCCCAGAAGGTCGAGCCGAGCATGTACTAGTAGCCAACGAGAAAGAGGATAAGTATGAGATCACCTACATCCCTCCTGACGTGTAATTATCCGCGATAACAAGCAGAGCAGAGGACGGCGTAGAAGAAGCAAATATGTGGATGTGGTGTAAACTAAAACTATCGTAAGCCGGGGCGGGTCCTGCGGATCATTGGCACCGTAAGCCCTGAAACGGGCTTCGTCAAGTTCCGCTTCCAGCGACGTCGCGCGCTCTTCGTCCTGAAAGATTGTAGACGTGGACAAGTGCGCGGGAGTGCGGCACTCGTGACCGTGAGGGGCCTGTGGAAAGGACTGCTGTTGGGGAGCCGAGAGGGAGAGCCGGAGAGGGGCTCCGGAGTCAGAGCCTGACAGGTCAGTGCACGTCCTCCTCAGGACCTGCTTGTCTTCAGCCTTCATGTCGCCTTCCTCATCCACCTCTGTCCCTGATAATCATGTTTGGCTTGTTCTCATCTATGAAAGCGATTTGCCGTCGTCATTCTATCTCCAAATTCCTCTGGAGGTTATCCATTCCTTGTGTTTGAGGCCCCGAAAATATCTCTTGTACCTCGGTTGGTGCGTACTGGGTATTGAAGGCGTGCTGGCCGTCGAACCCAATGGAAATGAGATCGTGAATGAAGGAGGCCTGAATAACCAAGGGGTATATTATTTCGTTACCCCTGAGGATGCAAGTGCGTTTTTCCTCTTTACATGCCATTGCCGTCATTTTTAACTTGCTGGTTACTCACGGCATGTAATTGCCACTCAAGATTTGTCCCAGGCAGTTGACCTTGAGGTCATTATGACTGAAATACAGGCATCTTCTGAATCGGTGGATCTGTGTGAAAAGATTTGTGCCCAATTGCTGGAACGTGACATTTGTTGCATCTGGACAGGAGGCACAGAAGAAATTGTGGATGCCGTTCATATCATTCCTTTTCAGCGAAGCTCTGATGTATGTTCTCTACTTTCGTGTGGAAGTACATGGTTAACTGTTCTTTTCTCGGCCATTTCAGTGGATTGAAATTATTGTTCGAGGACGTTCACAGTATGACGAGGATATTGCTAATCTTGATGATATCGATGACGTTCGAAATGGCATGGTCACGAATCCCCAGATCCACCGCCTGTTTGATCGACGAACTGTCGTTGTTCTCAAGGTTTGTTACATTTAATGTCCTATTTTCATCGCCTTTATCACCGCCTCAACCAACCAGACCCCAAACCCTATTCTCGGCAAAGACGATATCCCCCAATGTCTAGATCGAGAGTACATGCCGGAAGGTGCTGTTTATCCTGCCAACGAACGTTATACGCTGCAGTCCCTCGAAACTCTACCTCCGGATGTGTCAGTTTTTGTCCCAGTCAACCGTGATGGCGCTTTCAGAGGATCTTCTGATGAGGAGAAACCATCGGGACTACTCTTGCACTACAACTATGGTGCAGCAGCGGTTAAAGTGTGGGGTCACGGTAAGGAAGTCCTCGAGGCTCAACGACAGCCCCTTCGTCCACCTCCTCGCCAACCTGCGCCAGTACGGTATGGACGAGCAGGTAGGAACGACCGAAGTATTGCAATTGAGAAGCGCAAGCGTCAGCAATCGGGGGGTCGTGGGGCCCCTAGGGCCGGCCTAGTCATGCGGCGGCGGCCGGAGCAGGGACCGTAGAATCGTTGGAGTCAGATGGCAAGGAAGATTGGGATGTGGATGACGTGATGTTATTCTTCATGTTACGTTCCCGGGCAGCAAGAGAAAGACTTCTCAAGGAAGTCAAGGAAAACACTGAGCGTGTGCAGACATGGAGAGAAGCCGTGACTCGGGATTCTACCTGACCATACCCCATGTAATGTACCGGAAACGGAACGTTTTCAATCGAGAACCGTGCAATTGCGGGATACGGTGACGATAAATACACATTCCCTTCTCTTCTTGGGATATCCGTGATGACGCATCGGCGATTGTCTCATTGCATTGGCCTTGCCCCAAAGGGGACTGGCACTCATCCGTACTGCTCATGCATGCCAGTGGCGATATCATAGAGCTTCCGTCTTCACGACGTGAGAATTACTTACTATGCATCGCTGTATGCGAGACACCTGACTGCATGGCTGATCGTTCGATTGCCAGGATTCAAGAGCATACACCTCCGGGAACAATGCAAAGAGAGGTGACAGGGCCAAACCGGCAGGCAAACGAAGCTTCGGCACTGCCAGAAATAGGATGTCATTCCCGTGGTCCTGACATTCACCACTGGCAAGAAAGAACCGGGAATGACCGACGCCGGTTCCTTGCGAAGATAGACGCACCCTCAGATGTCTCTCGGAGAATCGGAAAACTTCTGCTTTTTTGTAAACCTCTCGAAGGCGGTCCTGAAGTATCCCGCACTACAGCGATGATGGATACGATGGGCGAGAATCGAGATTGAAAATTTACCATCAATCCAGAAGTTCGCATCAACCGATATAGAGGTAGCCTGAGGCGCTAAATGGCTAGGAGGACGAACGGAAGTGCGGTGGGATAATGGCGCCAGTGCTGAAGATAGACAGTCTTTCCGATACGAGTGTTGTGGTCGTTATCCTTGTCCGCGGCCTGATTGACCTTCCCTGACCCGTACGCCGTGGCGGACGGACAACTGGCAACGCTCAGGTTCTCAATTGAAGGTGACAACGCTCTCGTAGTTCCCGCTCCAGTTGAGCCAGTGTAGGCGCGAGGGTTCAAGTTCGTCCACTTAGGGAAAGTGTTGACTACCCGATGGTCTTGAGAGAGGTGTTTGAAGGAGGGCTTTTGAAGAGAGCGAGGGGAAGGAAGCTCAAAGTCTCAAACGCGTCGTGTCACTGAGTCCCTCGAAATTCCATCTCTGCATCCGACCTTTGTCCCAGTTAACAGTGATGCTGCTTTCAGAGGATCCTCTGATGAGGAGAATGTTGGGAAAGGGTAATCTGTCACTAAAACTGGTTGAGGTGTCCAACACAGTTGTGGAGATGTAAAACCACCCACCACCCATGGCTAGGTAGCTCAATAGGTAGAGCACCTGGTATATATATTCAGGAGGCCTGGGTTCAAACCCCAGTCTGGTCACTTAAATAAAAATGCTGCTAACAGAGAGTCCAGTGGCAGTTAAAATGTGTGGTAATGGTGACCAAGTTCTCAGGGACCGCGGACAACCCCCTCGTCCACCTCCTCGTCCACAAAAGCAGTATGGACCAACAAGAACTAAGAACGACCGCACAATCTCAATTTCCAAGCGTGAATGTTGGGAATTGGGGGGTGGGGCTCATAGGGCCAGAGGGGTCAGTCAGGCTTTTACTTTACATTTTTGACTTTTTCGTCCCACTTTCCATATTTATCATTTTTATCCTTTTACTTTCAAGATTTGTCCTTCTACAGTACTTCCAAAATATGTCTTTTCGTACTTTTACTTTGTACCCGCATAATTTGATTTCATTTGAGTCTGACCGGAGCGCCTCGCTCCTGCTCTGTGGCCACGCCCTCGCTTCTCACCGTGTCGCTATGCGGTCCACCACTGGTCCACCCGTCGCTCCCCGCCTTCTCATGTGTTTCCGCTGCGGTCGCCTCGGACACCGGTCGGTGATGATCGGCGCGATCACTCCTTCCGCTTTGCTCCCACCTGGATCCGCTGATCCCGCCTCGCAGCACACGTCCGAGTCGCCTCTCGGATGCGGCAGTGGTGGCATCCCCACAGCCCCCGGCATCCCCCGTCCCCCAATCCCACTCGCCCAGTGCCACCCACATGCGCATCCTAGAGGGCTATAAAACATCAACCTCTCTTCATCCCCCCCATCGCCGCCGGTGGCGTATCGATAACAGTTCAACCTGCCCTGAAATCCTGTGCACCAGAACTCTTCCACATACACGCCCAGCTCCTGATCCTGATCCAGCAACCATCCCAAGCCCGCGCCCGTGTTGCCCGATGCCGTGCCTGCTGCCGGAGCCGAGCGGAGGGGTCACGGTGATGGCCACTCAGACTCGGACTCGGGTGTGCGTTGCCCACACCATCTGGCGCACCTCAGCAGGTTCCGACCCTTCCTGGCCTATTTAATCGCACTGCGCCCGCTACCTCCATCAACAACGAGTCTCAAGGCCGGGTTCTTGAACAACTCATGACAGGGTGAGCATCCTTTTGGCATACCTCGGGACAACTTTCAACTTATCCTTTCGCTCAAGCAACGCTCCGCGCTCCAACGTCTCGGACACATCTCAACAGCAACGCTTGGCCCCCCGTGGTTCTGTGTCAGTAGGAGTATAAGTGCGAGTTGGTGAATTCGACCCAAGGGAAAGTGTGGACAGATAAGATAGGATAAGATATGAAAGAGGGAGAGCTGGGGACGAGGAAGCGGACGGGACGCGGGAACGGAACGGGGAGTGCACGGCGGTGCGGCACGAAAGGAAGGGGAGCGGACTTGTGCACGGTGGCACAGCGAACACGGGCGAACGAAGGGAACGGGAGCGCACGGCGGCGCGGCACACGGATAGGGACGCAGATAGAGTCTCTTATTCAGTGGGGACTAGGTAGACAGTTTTTGTAGGTAGATATTGAGTTTACTTTATAGACAAGTTGGTATCTAGGGGAAAGGAAAAGAGGGACAGAAAGAGGGTGACAGTAAGATAGACTATGCTAGCTGAAAGGGTTTGGGGCGACGGCGTTTGCTTGCAGGGGCGGTGGCGTTGTGTCGAGAGGTCGAGGCCGAGAGGGGATGGAGTGTCGGGCGTCGGGCGCTCCGGCGTGGCTAATCGTGCTCAACGCGCACGCATTCCTTATAGGAGACCCAGAAGCAAGGCTCTCCTCCGCCAAAAAAAGTCGATGTTTGACTTTGTCTCACCGTTCGACGCGCTCGCGGCGACTTGCTTCATCCCTATTTGCAAGCCTGTCCCGCCTTCCCTCTCATCAATGTCTCCTCCTGAGTCATTCGGAGACACTTCCGTCATCCGCAAGTCATCGACCCTAAGTGCGAGTCCACGGACAATCTCCTTGAGCAGCTTGGGAACAAAGCACCGGTCCCGCCGTCTTCTCACCCAGTCCCGTCGTTTGATCAGCATAGTCCCGAAGAAGAGACACACGCCACTGAGCCAGTCCAGTCGATCTCTGTCGCCATCACCTCCGGCTTTCCGTCTTCCGCGTTGTAAACTCGTTGCGCTACACTGCCCACTGGCACTGGCACGTGGTGCCAGGTCGCTCCCTCGTTTCTCTACTAAGACAGCTGTTCTTACACAGTAGTCACAGCCGACCCTTGGATTCTTGGTCCTGGTAGGGATTGATCGTAAACTCCTTGCGCGTTGGGAGTTGCGAATCTCCTAGCTCCGTGTTCCGCCGCCCTGGGATACTCTGGGATTTATGAATTGTCCACTCTGGGGTCCTGGTGGCAGGCCTTTGGCGGGCCCTACTTGTGAACCCCGCCACCTCCAAAACCCCGCTGTTGGCCATGTTCTTCTCCGCCCTCTTGCATGTGACGTCGTGTGCCACCTCGATCCCATCAACATCAGTTCCATCTGTACAACGATAATGTTTCCCGAGAACCATTCTCGGCTGTGGCGCCATTGTCGTGGCGCCTGACATTGTCTGGTCACCTCCGACATTCACCGTGTAGAGGTAAGGTGTGGCCATACTCGGCAGACCCCCAGCGATGCCAGCTGTTGTTAACCAGGTGAATGTTTCAGCCATACAAGTGGGAGACAGAATTGGAGATCATGATAACTCACGGTGTGGTGACAGTGTTGCTGGCAAGGGCGAAATGCTAGCATGGTGCCGTCGCGCGCATGTCACTGGCGAAGTAGGGGGGACCCCGTTGTATCGATGAACTCAGGGGTCAGGCCTGCGTCAGGGCTCATCGCGCTCATCCCCTCAGAGAATCAAGAACCTCGCTGCGTACCACATGGCTCTGAGGCTCCTCACGCTTCCAGCAAGTACTCGCTACCGCCTGAAGAAACATTCTAAGAAGGCAGGAATGGGCACGCTGCAACTCATCCACCAACGCCTACACCTACGGCTCCCCCGATATCGACGTACCGCAGGCGCGCGCTCTCCTTGACCGAGCCTACCATTTCTGTGATTCTCTGAGCGGGCAATGAGAGAGAGATTTACAACAAGGTGGCGGTGGCTCAACCCAATCATCAATATATGTCCTCCCATTCGCCCTTCCCGTGAAGCTCGGTCACGGTGAATCCTCAGAAGTTACAATAATGCGCCCAGGATCTGCGCTCTAGCGCCCACACACGCATACGTTTTTTGCCTCGAACTCCCTTCCTTTTAATTCCGCATGCCGATCTCCGTCCTATTCCCCGATCTTCTCCTCATCCGGCTGAAGTTGTCAGCGCGAACATAGACGCACCCTCAGAGGTCTCTCGGAGAATCTGAAGGATTCTCCTTTTTTTTTAAAAAAAAAGCCTCTCGAAAGCTATCCTGACTCCCGCGCTACGGCGACTCGATACGATGGATACGATGGCGAGAATCAAGATTGAAAAAAAACATCCACAAGTTCGTTCGTATCAACCGATATAGAGGTACACGCTAAAGTGCTTAGAAAAGCTAATCCAGGATGAACCAAATGTGGAGAGGATTAATGGCACCAGTACGCGGAAGATCGCCAGTTTGATTCCAATATGTGTGCGATCCGCACAACTGAACCAGTGAGTCACCACTGACAGTCCCGCCCCGCTTCCCGCTCGCTCGCAAAAATGAGTGTCGTTATGCTCGTCCGTCCGCGGCTCCGCACCCTGGTCGACCTTCCCTGGCTGACCATACGCCGCGGCGGACAACGCTGAGTAGGTTCTCGTGGAGATGGTTCTGACCCTCAGCGCGTTCACCAAGTCAAACGGAGCAAAGCCACGGGTTCGGAATCGGAATCAGGCGGAAGCCAGCAGCGACTCCTCGGTAATCTGGTGGACCTCAGGCCGCGCGATCATACCGACTAGTATGGAAGAGAAGGCATCTCATAAAGGATATGCTGCGCGTGCCTGCGTCGTGGCACCTCCGTAGGCAGCGATGACCATTACACATGAGACAGGGGCCGACTTTGACGACTATGACAGCTGACGTAGTGCAACGGGTCTACCGTGACAACTAGTTATGCCGTGGCGTCGCTGTCGACTCTGATTGGAATCCTAGCACACTCGCCAATTGCACACAGATAATCATAGTTAAATTGTCCACAAAGTTGCAGTAACCACATCACTACGCTCTACGAATTAAAGAGCAACGAATGAATTCAACGTACGTTTGTCCGAGCCGAAGCCAGAATCGTATGGGGTATTACCTTCGGACTGTACATACAGCATAGCATAATGGGGGAATGGGAATGCGCGACAACACCTAAATGTGGGCGGCCTGGACGACGATTGCGGCAGTGTCGCGATTCTCGCGAATGCATGCGGTATGATCTGAAGAGGGGATATAGCCATTGGCGCAAGCCTGCACAACACAGCGGCCTGCAGAGCATCGGACATTTTGGACGTAACGAAGAGCCGTGCAGTCAACTCCCTCAGGGCCCTGCTCTGACATGAGGAGGAAAGGATTCGGGGATACGCATCCACCACCTGGTGAGAAAAGGAATAAGCACCAAAAACAATGTTCATGATTGATGCCGACTCACAGCTTTCCAGCGCGGTGTCCGTGTTGAGGCACTCAAAGGCAGCTGAGCCCTGGCTGACCCCGCAGACTTGCTCATCGTGAGCACACGTCGATAGAGCATCTTCATGCGTGAAAATTCCGCGGCTGCGGGCCCTCAACTTTTCATTTATCCTGCGTTGATGGGGAACAGCGGAGCCACAACCCTGTGAAGCGGCATAAGTTCCCAATACAAGGCCATAAGATAAACAATCGGAGTTCGCTAACATGCTTGAAGGTGCCGCACACGCCGTTGCAGAGCCAGTAGGGGGGTTCGCAAGCACATTGTTGGCCCATTCGGACATATGGAGGCACACAGTCGAAGTCACAAGGATTTCCCACGTTGCAAACCGGTTTGCAATTGTCAGGATATTGGCACGTCTGCTTGGTTTGGGAATGACTGATCTGGTGTCACCAAGGTAAGCTGACATGGGGATCGAGTCGGTGAGAGGCAATG